ACTAAACCCTAACGTCAACAAAGTGAAAGAGAAAAGATAGAGAAGAGAAAAGAGGGTGAAGAAAAACCTGAACCAGTTGAAGCTCAAGAGGGTGAAGAACCAGTCGATTGATCTAGGGCTTCAAGGTATGTCCTTCGTTCTTCTTCTTTTCTTCTTCGCTTCTTTTTTCTTCTTCTTTCTTCAGTTCGATAGTCTTTGAAGGTCGTCTCTCTCTCTCTCTCTTATCTCTCTTTCAGTTCGTCTCTCTCTCTTTCTCTCTCTCTCTCTCTCTCTCTCTCTCTGTTTTTCTTCTCTCTCCCTCTGTTTCGTCTCTCTATCGTCTCTATCTGTTGTGCTTTTTGCTTTTTCTTTTTATAGTCCCTCATTAAAGATATTTTTGTATAAAAATACCTTTTTTTTTAATAACAAAAACCTTACTTTTTTTTATTTATACCTCATACTCACTTTTTTTTCCCCTCTTTTTATTTTTTCTATTTTTTTGGGTATTCTTGTTTGCTTAACTTGAACATAAATAGCACTAATTATTTTTATTTGTTGGAAAAAATTAATTTGTTGAATGTGTTTATTAATTTTTTAGTGTTATTTTGCATGTTTAATTACCTTCCAATGATCTTTTTTCAATTTTAAACGTATAATAAATAAACAAAATTATATATATTGAACATGTGGAGAAGACGGATTCATACAGCCGACCCCATTTGATGGAACTTAAGACTTGTTTTGATTTAGTTTGATTTATATTGAACGTGTCCCCAACATGTCGTGTCCCCTATTTTTTGAAAACGTGTCCGTGTCCGTGTTACGTAGCTCACATGGTAAGACTATAACTCTTATTGTTTATGTGGATGACAGTGCTTACAGGAGATGATAGAGAGCAAATACCCCGGTTAAAGAAATATTTGGCAACCGAGTTTGAAATAAAAGACTTGGGAAATCTAAAATATTTCCTAGGTATTGAGGTTGCCTGGTTTACGGATGGAATTTTCATCTGTCAGAGAAAATAGGATCTTAGACCTGTTGAAACTTGAAAGAAGTTGAGATGCTTAGGAGTAAAGCTTATAATACACCACTGGAGCCAAACCAGAAACTTAGTGATGATAGTGGGAGAGCTATTGTTGATAGAGGGAGTTATCAGAGACTGGTGGGTAAACTCATTTACTTATCTCATTCTCGTCCTGACATTGCCATGGCAATCAGTGTAATTAGCCAGTTCATGCATGCTCTTCATGAGACACACTTGGCTGCAATAATGCGCATCCTTAAATACTTAAAATCTTCTCTAAGAAAGGGCCTCTATTTTTCAAAACATGACCATCTTCGGGTGGAAGCCTATACAAATGTTGATTGGGCAAGATCAGTAACTGATAAAAGGTCCACATCAGATTATTATACCTTTATTGGAGGTAATTTGGTTACTTGGAAGAGCAAGAAATAGAATGTAATCGCCTGCTCTAGTGCAAAGGCTGAGTTTAGAGCCATGTCACAAGATGTATGTAAACTTTTGTGGATCAAGTTACCACTAAGTGATATGGGGATTAGTCATATTGATTCCATGCGACTGTACTGTGACAATAAGGCTGCTATTAACAATCCAGTTCAGCATGACCGAACGAAACATGTGGAGATTGATCGCCACTTCATTAAGGAAAAACTCGCCAATGACACTATATGTACTCCTTTTGTGAAGTAAGGTGAACAACTGGCAAACATTCTCACCAAGGGAATTAAAAGCAAACCATGCCATAATGTGAGAGACATCTTCACACCAGCTTGAGGGTGAGTGTTAGAATAATATCTTTGGTTATTGTGTATTGATTATTCTATTAACTGTTTTTTCCTAATTCTGTTATTGCCATATTTGTGCCTCCAAGGCTTCCATTGTAAGCTATCTATTATCAATATAAAAGGGGATGATTGTCTAATCATTGCCTAAGTTTTGTTCCCTCTTAACAAACAATTACTATCCACATTTTCAAAACTCGCATAAAAGGGACTTGTAAACACTATATGATGAAAACGTTTACAATAAAAGATGTCACAATTGTCAACAGTAGAAACTAGTGATGCGAAAAGGAGGTAGAAGCTCGCGAATCTCAAATTATCTAATCCTGTCCTCAATTTGTTCTCCATTTTGTCTCAAATGTTTCCTCTCTCCTCACTCCCCTCTCTAAATTTGTACCTATCACATCCCTCATTGTACCAAAATCCAAATAAAGCAAACTCTTCGTTAACCTACATCCTACTACTTCTTTGATCAGGAACAAAGAAATTTTACTAAAAATAACAAAAGAAAGCATACGAGAAGAGGAGGACAAGATGTCCACCAGAAAAACCAAAAAAACAGGGGAAAAAAAAGATAACATATCGCACACTGCCCTTCAGTTCCTATTAATAGAAAGAGGAGATTGAAACCCAACATGATGATATATGACAAATCTGATCCCATATCACCTTTAAATACTCAAATTTTTCTTCAAAAATCTTTTCAATCTTTTCAAACCAAATCTCCCAAAATATAGCGAAGGTGACACAATCCCATATAACTTGAGCTTTCTTATTGATAACAAATCCCCAACATCAAGCAGAAGCATCAGAACAGAAACGGAGGAGCCACCAAATCCATATTCACCATATAAAACAGTTTGTGCCACCATGAAAATTCCACGGGACAATGTAAAAAGAAAAAATGTTCAATAGTTTCTTTTTCTATTCTATGCAAAATATACCACTGTAAAGCAAAGAGTAAATGAGTCTCCTTTTTTTTAAACAAATCATTAGTATTAATCTTCTTATGAGCCACAGACCATAGAGAAACTTCTACTTTAAAGGGCACGCAAGCATTCCAAATCATTTTATAAGGCACAAACAGAAGAACATTATGCTTATCAATTGACTCATGAAAGAATGATTTTTAAAACCGATGTATGAATCAACCACACACTTCTATCCATGGCATCACGCCTCAAAGAATATTATGAATAACAATAGTGCCAAATCATTAGCCTCCTTGTCATTCAAATTTCTGTAAATAAATGAAATTCCAAGAAATGGGAGCCTCATAGGAACAAGCAATAGAAGAACTAAGAGAGCGAGACAAGTGATATAGGTGCGGAAAAAAATAATCAAAAGAGTCATCCCCAATCCCAATCCAAACAACCTCCCAAAAATGGACATCTCTCCATTCCTTAGCATGAGACAAATGAAATGTGAAAAATGATCCCCAAGATATCCATTTTCATAGAGCTCTAGAATCTCCTCAAAAAGCCACTTAAGAATCCCAACTATTGGGTTGGATCCCATACTTGCTTTCAATCACGTAATGCCATAACGCATCTATCCTTCTAAAACGGTTCTTACTTGGTCTTATCATATTGCAGAATGTCCTTTTTTCCCAGGACAACTCGCATCCTCACGCATCCTACATCAGTAACACCTTACCAAAATTTGAACTCAACAATGCATTTCCAAATAGAATTACAAATTGAACTCAACAATAATACCCAATGAATAACAAGTTTGTGAGACAATATATATATGTAGCATACGAAAATTTAAATAATTAAGTTTTCCAGCAGATAAGGAGCTAATTGGGTGATACACCATACATTAAATGAATAGCACTCGCTTAAGCGATACAAGTCACAATGCATATGCCTTCAAATGAAGAGCAGGAAAAAGAAACTAAACTTAAACTTCAAAATGCCCAACTTGACAACTTCGTAAAAATACCGAAAGGTGCTCATTTTTTGCATGCAGTATCTAAAAGGAAATTTTGCATTCCAATTTATATATTTATTTATTTTGATTGGCACCGGGGTGTCCAAATCAAAGCCCAATTAATCCCCAAGGGTGCATAAGCCATCGGCAAGGAGTTTCCCGCTAGTGCACCACGATTAATTCAAGGGTTTTCCCCCAATCCGATGGCCCCAAGAAATTGTTAGCACCTAAGAGGTTTCGATCCCTAAACCTTAGAGGGAGCACACCCCAAGCCCTTGCCACCAAGCCAACCCCTTGGGGTTTTTGCATTTCAATTTATGCTTTCACTGTACAAGAATAATTCTGTTCCTACAACGCTTGTATGCCTCAAAGTCAAGTTGACTCATTGTAAGCACAATGGTAAACTTTAGGCCAAGTTTGGCAACCCATCAAAAATCCAAAAAGCTAAAAAGTTACCCAAAAAATTAAAAAGTTATCACTATTCACCAATTAAAAATATAAAAATATTAATTTACACAATATTACCATACAAAGACATGACTAGTGGTACCCGTGGTGGCAGTGCACTTTATTGGGCTGTCAATGGGGTAAAAAAAAAATTACGTGGCTCTATTCATTAAATTGGAGGGTAATATTGGGCCAGTGGGGGCCATCACAGATCTCTTTTTGATAATCTGAACCGTTCAATGTGTAGAACTCGTCGAGTACTATATGTTTATAAAAAATCACGTTAATCGGATATCGCTAACTATATGATCAAATTAGTTTTGTATAAAAAATGGATGGTGTTATAGTTAACGGTTGACAAAAAACTAACACGATCAGATAGCTATCGATATCCGATCACCATGATTTTTTATAAGCATATAATACTCGACGAGTTCTGCACATTCAACGGTTCCGATTAGCAAAACGTGACCCGTGGTGGGCCCCCAAGGGCCGGACAACACTGCCAATTTAAGCCCGAGAAGTAGGCAATAATTTCCTATCTCCTAATCTGCCACTGCTCTGCTAGACTGCTGTACGGGCTATCAATAACTTCTCTTATACATTTTTTTATATAATTTTTTAATACACATTTTTTTGTAAAAAGTCAAAAAGTTAACCCAAACATTCATATTTTTTTCCTCAACTTTTTAATCTAGAAAGACAAAAAGTGTACTTATTTAGAATACCCCAAACAACCCCTTAATATCAATCTATCAATTTCTTGACGTCTCCTACTACTACTATAATTATTAGACAAGTTGGCAGAAAAAAACTAAAATCCAATGTAAACTCACCCATAACTGACATTCTGTGGTATAGACATTTTCTCAATCATTGTCTGTTGCTTCGCTCTTTCCTGCACTTCAAATACCTAATCATAAGATGCAAGAACCCAAAACAAAGGGCATCAATTTCCATGGGAAGCATAAAGCTAAAGCCTTTCTAGTTACTACTTTTAGAATTAATTCTACGATATTCATGTAATAAACGGTCCTTTACTATATCTAACATCTTGACAAATTAAAAGAAAACTAGTGACTGGAATGTGAAAACTACGAACACAATGAGTTGACACTCAAGATCAGTGCCCTGCAATTGCTAAATAGAAATAACCACCATAAGTAATCAGTAACTAGTGCCAGGAGACACGACCACAAAAGCTCAGTTTACAACTCCACAAATTTAACTACTATTCGATTCCCACAAACTGTATGATTCAGGGACCAACTAATGTTCCAGTATAGCAGTAGCTGCAGTACCAGAAATTTGACTAGCATCACATTAGCATGCACAAAGTGATGACAAATTTAAATTTTAAAATAAAATCTATGAAAAGAAGAGGCAGTTCTCCATCACAATAAATAACAATTGAACCTAGACTACATTTTCAAAGGATAAACAGAGAAGGATTCCCCATAGGTGCATGCCTCTTCTAGTAAGTACAATTTTATTTTATTTTTTTGGGAGAAGGCTGGTAAATATGCTTACTTTTTTTTCTTTTTTTTGTTCAAGATTTGAAAATATGCTTACTTTTATAACAAAACAATCAAAATTATCATTGTTACTTGAAAGTGAATATAAAAATACAGAAGTTAAAGTAATACGCATACTGCACGCGTAAGCAGAGTGATGAACAATAAATATAAATATAGCAAACTGAGCTAAAGACAATTAACAGAGAAAAGATGGCGATGAAAAAATATGAAATTATCTTACCTTGAGATTAAACTGAAAGGGTTCATTCCCAAAGTTGACATGGACCCTACAGCATCAAAATCAAACATGCAACTAAAAAGCATCACAACCTCTTTGACTTTGATGAGAATAAAACAGTGCAGAGGTTTCCTGCAGTACGAAACAAATAATAACAGAAATAGTAAGTGAAAGGAGAAATTCGAGAAGTGATCCATGCAAAAACTCAAGAAGATCACAGCCATAATCTTTCTTCACAAGTGTATTAGAAAACCCATATATAGGGGGCATAATCTCTCCTTTTGGAAGGAGGTTATTGGATAACAAAGCTTCAGATTGGAGTATTTTCTTACATTATTATTCCTCTTACTCATCATGGCTTAGATTTGGGCCCCAAGCTTGTTGAATTCAAGTTTGCCTTGTTGGAAACTGCATCAATCAGCTTTAAAATCTGAATTTATCATACTTTCAGCCTTGATTAGAGTTATACTTAAGTCTACCTCTAATTGCAGACATTGGAGCCTCGAACTAAACACATCAAACAACCACCTCTGTTTCTACCAAATACACCAACAAACAAAAATTGAAGCCATATTCCCTGGGAGACTAACTCTTCTAAGAGGACATTCCCCATGCCAAATATGAAAATGTTGCCATGCCTAATGAGTGGCTAAATGATATGATAGGCTTTGGAAACCTAAAATGAAGGCTGTCTGTTGGGGCCCACAATCTTTTGTCTACACAGATATTTTGATAATATTTTAGGTATACATATATTTTTGTATAGGTATCGATTTCTGATTTCGGTATTGTAGTTTGTTAATTCCTTGGTGCATTAGGTATCTCAACTTATATAAATATAGCCCGTGAGAAAACATTACTTGTAAAATATTCACCATTCAATTTATAACATGTACTAGATATAAACTCAGCCAATCCAGCATATTTTATTGGAAAACAACAACATTCACTTGTTGAATTTTGTCGTTGGAATGGTGAATCACAAAAACTGCTTCTTGGTAAACAGCTCCCTTTCACCAAGGTATTGTTTAATAAACTTTGACATTAAAGGTTCTATGGATCAAAAGGCTAAGTTTGTCATATGAAAATTTCAACCATATTCATGCAAACAAAAGTGACCATCAAACCAAATAGTAGAATCTTAATGTAATCAATCACTCCCAAATAGGTGAACTAAAGTAACTGGTATTTTTGCTTTTTGAGCATGCACCATCTAATACAAACGCAACTGCCCTGTTAAATTAGATAAATGGCAGAAGCAATAAAGTGGTAAGTGAGTAGACGAGGGCTAGGAGGCACAACATACTCCTCATATTGGCTGTGAACGGCAACAGTAGGAAATAAGGGACCCTACACATCGTTAGACACTGTTCCCACTACCTCCCCATTTTTACTGGCATCAACAATATAAAACAGAGATTTATAAGAATTCTAATAAGAGTTAAAGAAACACCAAAAATAATTAAATTAAATCAAATTAAATATAACTACACAAGAGTGAAACCACACTGCTGGTTCTCACGGTCATCAACAATCAAACCACTTACATGCAAGACTAGTTTCGTGCAAAAGCAAGTGGAATGTCAAATATTGTCTTGCGTGAAAAAGAATTCCAGTGAAGCATAGTTGATACCGCTACCAACTGTATCACCAGTTGTAAATGTTGGGCCAAATGACTCTCCCTTTCCTTGCCCACGATAAAGAAATCCATCATCTCCATGATATCCATAACTGTTTGCTTCCCACCTGTTATTTAGAAGAATAGGACAGCAATTCAATTCACACCCACAGATTCTGGCTGCAAAATTTTAGTAAAAAGGAATTTTAAGGCAGAAGAAAAGGACAGCAAGTTCAATTCACACCCATTGATTCTGGCCACAATTGTAGCAGAAAGGAATTTTAAGGGACACTAGACAGCATTTGTAGCCATTCTCTCATATAATTTTGTCAAATAACAAGTATATTTAAAACTTAATCCCCAATATAATTTAACATCAAAAAGCTAGGAACCATGTAAACCACCAAATCCCATTTAGTTTTCCATGATTTTTTATGCAGCCTCTTCGTGATGAGTTGGAGCCAGGCTCTTGGCTGTATAGCTCAACAAATGGTCAATAAAGAGAAGTAGGGTTCCTGTGATAGACAGAACGAAACGTCCCTCACGTGATCAATAAATGATCAAGATGAAGTGACTTGAATGGAGAGACAAGGAACAAAAGCCAATGTAAATGTAGGTTGAATCCAAGAACCCCCCTCAACTCAACTTAAGCTTTGATACCATGTTAAGTCATCAATTGTCCCAAAAACTTGATTTGTTAACAAATGGATCCAACAATGTATAAAACAAGATGGCATCTTCTAAGCCATCTTCTATAATATATCTTAAAAAGTTTTTGATGGGGCATGATAGCATCTTGAGAGCAATAGTTCAATTAGTACCAAAGAAGAAGACAAAAAAGAAAAAGAAAAAGAGATCACTTCCTTTTAAAATGGTAATGATTATAGTCATCCATCCTACTGATTGGTTTGGAAGAATAACGTTCCCTGTCTGAAATGTCAATAGGGCCCATTAGAGAGTGAATATAATAGAAATTTGTCAAGCTATCAAACTCTATAAAACCCACTACCAAATATTATGTTGTGTAAATTTAATAGCAATAAAGGATTGATCGTTCATTTATTGTAGAATTTCCTATTATGTATGCAAAAGCTTTACAGTTTATGTGGCCATTAATTTGGTGGCTCCTTCAGAAACACAGCTCTTAGAAATACTTTTTGGCTCATCCCACGACCCGCAAATTAATAGGGACCACCAATGAGGAATGGTCTCTTACTTAGCTATAGACCTCTTCACCGATGAATTCTAAGGAGTTATACATAAATCGACACACATGATTGGGCCCCATTTTGATCTTGTCATATTCAAGTTGTTTTATGTTGGAGCAACGTGCTCTGCATAGAGTTGAGCTCAACTTTGAAGATTGGTGCTAGGGAAACACAAAAAGATAATACTCGGGGCATCTTAAAAGAACGTGATAACCTCACTTTTTTAAGACGAGTAGCGGCAAGTTTTGTCACTTAAGCAAAGATGTATTCCAGGTCACAGAGCTACCAAGAAGTCACTTCGAATGGGATTCAATGTTGTTAAGGGTAAATGTTTCATTGTCATAAAATGGCTGAAATCCAATTCTCCACAATCCTTGCCATTATGGCAATTCAGAGGTGAAGTTTTTATCTACTTCTTTTGAGAAGGAGATAAGAGTTGGGTCCACAATCTGGCTAAGAAAGAGATGATTCCTCAACCGCAAGGTTGGTGAACACCTTATAATCCTTCTACGGGCCATCTTTATAGCCTGTTGAACTAGTTTGCCATTGTCTTTGCACTCTATGGAGTTTAAATTTGCCTCCGATAAGGATTGCCTTCCCTCATTTTGTTCCCCTCCTTTTTGCTCATCTTGCAAAGCATGCCTCATTCTTAAAAACGGCCATTGACTAGCTGGTTTGCTAGGGCATTCTACATTTGGCAAAATAAAAAAGTTCAATGCACAGAAACAAAAACTTAAAGATGCATAATATGCTTATGTAATTAACAAAAGAAAATTGGAAACTGAACTAAAGCGGCTAAATTCCAAATGTGGGTGGTTTGGTAGGACAAGTCTAGGTTTGCTAGAGCCAATTTAATCTTTAAACTGAATTTTCAAATATAAAATACCAATTAATTAAGCTTTCAAAGTTAAAAATCTTGTATCAATATTATCGAAACTTAACTTCCAAAACTGGTTTGCATTGTGTTGCGTCCGTATACACTAATGCAATGTAATGTAATGAAATGCAACAAAACTAGAGTTTATTAAAAATATATATATAAAATAAAAAATAAAAACCAATACTTGGCAGAAATTGAATTTCATTGAATTGAAGAATTGGGACAGGTGTGAAGAAGAATATGGTTTTACCCGGGTTGCCTGCGCATCTTGAAACCCTCGGTGGTGAATCCGATGGCAGTCTGGCCCTTGGCGCCAGCGTTCTTGACGAAAATCTCGAAGTAGTAGACAAGGCGCTTCACAGGGCCGGGACGATTGGCCTGGACAACTCCAACATCATGACCGTGCAAGTTCACATTTGTGTATTGCACAGAGAACTTGTCTGGAAACACATTCAAGACACCACCGTAGGTGTTGATCGTGTTGAGTTCCATCTCCATCTCCATCTCCATCGAAGCCTTGGAATTGTGGCATTTCCCTAAATAAGTCAAAATACAAAATCAATTCCCAAACTAGGCCTAGGTTTGAAAGGCCTCCCAAATAGGGATGGCAATTGGGGCAATGGATATTAATTATCCATCTCTATTTTACTATAATAAATTTTCTTCATTCTTCATTTCCTATTTGTCATGGGTATCATCCTCCCCATTTCTTAATGGGTATAAATTTTCTCCAACCTACTTTAATCAACATTTTTATTTTTTATATTTAATGTTAACAACCACTTCTTTCTTTATAATCATAATTTTTTAATTAAAAGTGCGTTTTGTAACCACGATTCTACGACTTCCCAAATTTTACTTGGGAGAGGCGCATAAATGTTTAAATCGTGAAGCACGACTTAGTCTATTTTGGGAGCCCTTTCAAACCTGAGTCCGGATTCTCGGCCGCCCTACCTGGCAGTTTTGAAAATTTGCCCCCAAAACGACGTCGTTTTGGGGGCTGCTGGAAACGGCTGCCAGGTAGGGCGGCCGAGAATCCGGACTCAGGTTTGAAAGGGCTCCCAAAATAGACTAAGTCGTGCTTCACGATTTAAACATTTATGCGCCTCTCCCAAGTAAAATTTGGGAAGTCGTAGAATCGTGGTTACAAAACGCACTTTTAATTAAAAAATTATGATTATAAAAGATATTTTTAATTTTTTTTTTTCTAAACTCGCTGTTTTAAACCACGCTTTTATGGAAAAAAAAATTTCTTCTGAACTCGCTGTTTCGAACCACGTTTTTTTGCCTCTTTTTTTTTGCTGAAATCGTGATTGTGAACCACGCTTTTTATACAATTTTTTTAAGTGAACCCGTGGTTTGTAACCATGCTTTTAAAATTGATATAAACCCTCCCCAGCCCTGTCATTTGCAATCACGCTTCTTAGATAACATAGTTCGCTCCTGCTCTCTCTTTCGCTCAGCCCCGTCTCTATCGCTCTTACTGCTCTTTCTCTCTCTCTCTCGCTGTGCACGAGCTCCCTTTCTACTCTCTGTCCTCTCTCTCGTTGGTATGCCTTCTGTCTCTCTCTCTTGATCTACTTTATTGTGTTTTTTGTGGTTGTGAAAGTGGGTATAATGTTGGTAGAATAGGGTTCATGAATGTGGTTCTAAATTGTTCTATGGTTAAATCTAACATTTAACATTAACTTCGAATTGAATCAAATTTTTGTTACATATGCCATAAAAATACTCTAAATTCATCCTAAATGAATTGTGAAAATGCCATAATCGTTCTATGGTTAAAATCCTAATCTGATTTAAAAATACTCTCTTAATCTGGTTAATGTATATGTGAAATTTGAGAAATTAGGATTACATTTATGGCATCTGTTGAATGTGAAATCTGTTGAATAAACCTGAAGTTTAGAAAAATTTAAATATTATGTTTCAAATGAGAAAATGAGGGTTATGGTTTTCGATTGAATGTGAAATGAGAAATGAGGGTTTGGGTTTTGAATGAGGGTTTGGGTTTTGAATTAGGGTTTTGAATTGATAAATGTGAAATCATTTTTCAATTAGGGTTAGGGTTTTAAATTGTGAAATAAAAAATGAGGGCTATGGTTTCAAAAATTAGGGTTTAAGAAATTTATAATAAGTTAAATTTTTTTGATAATGTTATATGATTTTTTTTAGGAACAAATTATGTAAAAACGTAGAGAAAATAAAATCCTAAATGATTTGGGTCAAATTGGTTGAATAATTTTAATAATTTAATTTGATTACAATTTTTTTTAAACCATACCCAATTAAACTTAAAAAATAAAAGCCAATTTTGGGCATTTGGACATTTTACAATTTTCGGTAATTGGACATTTTAAAATTAAACCATACCATACCATACCCAATAATTTTACAATTTCGGGCACTTTTGGCCAACTTTGGTGTTTTGTGTTAGATTCATTATTTTGTCAAATCATAAATAATAAATTAGGGTTAGGGTTTATATTTGTGAAATCTGTTTAGAAATCTGTTGAATGTGAAATCTTAAATCTTAAATAAGGGTTAGGGTTTATATTTGTGAAATCTGTTTAGAAATCTGTTGAATGTGAATGTTGAATGGTTTATATTTATCTTAAATATGTTTATAATTGTGAAATCTGTTGAATGTGAAATCAGATTTCTATTGAATGTAAAATCATAT